TAATAATAATAATAATAATAATAATAATAATAATAATAATAATAATAGATATTTGTATTGATTTTATTATTGTTATACAAATATGCGAGGTCACAGCGATAATTGTGCGTAACAGTATGTTCAAACAACATTGTTGCAATGATTGTTAGTATATATATGATGTCGTAGTGTTAAATGATATATTATGTATCATTATAATACGAGACACGTTTTAATATATCATCCACTTATTTCAGTGTATCTTACGACACAGGATCTGAGGTTGTATAGAGTGAGAACATAATTAATATTATTCTCGCATTTGTTCATTTGTATATTGTTTAGTTGTTTTTATATTTTATTACTTTATTATTATTATCATTATTATTATAAATAGGTTATTTTATTACATTATTATGACTATATTTCGTAAACACGTCGATTGATTAAAACGATATTAACATAGGTCATAAAATATTAGTTTCAGTTTTCTATTTTTTTCTCATACCTGGTTAAATACTTATATTATTACCCTGAAGTCACGTAAAAAAAAAAAAAAAAATAAAAAATAAAAAAATAACTATTAAATAATGGCCGTGATCTTAACAGTTGAATCTTAAAGTAAATATTAACAAGACAGACTTTAGGGGTATGCGTCATAGCATTTTTCACATTATTTTCTATACATTTCAAATAGGCCTCACAATATAAATGCGCGTGGACAATACGTTTACGCACTTTCATTTTCACTTTCACGCACTCGTTCCGGCTCATTATTATTGCTGTTTACGTTTCGATACATTTGTAAATTAAATTTAAAATTTTCGATTTATTTTTAACGATTACCACTGTTTTCATTATTTTTAAAAGTAATATAGAAACATTTTTCTCGAATTCGATTACATAATATTTACCATCCACTCCACTCGTTATTAATTAACTCATATTAATTTTTCTAAGAAAAATGACATAAGATTATTATTGTATAAATAATAATTATACGTTGTAACTTCATGATCGAATGAATATAATAATTTAATTAAGAAAACAATGTTTCTTTCTCTACAGTGCGATAGAGTAAGCATGAAGGATATTTTGACGAACGATGATTTCTAGCTTTTATCAATTTTAGTATTTTGTTGGGTAAAGCTACTCATATGATTGTTAAATCTTGCGTTTTAGAATTATACAATTTAGTTAAATTTCATTTGATATATTAATATTTTTGTTGATTTTCGTTTACACATAATAGACACAAAAAAATAATAATAATAAATACAAATAAGGCATTTAAAACCAACATTCTTGAGCCTAAAATTGGAAAGTGTTAAAAATTATTGTTCCTGTTAGAGTTAAAATGTATAAAATATGCTAAAATTGTTTTGAAATATACGTTCGAATATAAATATAATATACAATTAATATTGTAATAATTTAAAATTAAATAAATAGGGTTAATTTTTATAATTTGACTGGTTTAGGTAAACATGGTTGCGAAAAATATTATATATATATATATGTGTATGTAATATTAATAAGTATATATATATATATAAAATACATATTAGCTTTATTTGTAGGTAGTTCCGTCCAAAACATATACTGTAGTGTATAAACAATACCTCGTACTTACGGCCTACAGATTATTAAATTTAATTGAGCAATTTATTTTCAAATCATATTTCATGCCCTTCAGTGTAAATTTATGTTTGTTTTTGTGCCAATTAAACTCTTACTTAAGTCAATATTATTAGAAAAGTGCTCAATATATATTGTATAAAGTCATAGATATAGATAAGAAATTAAAATGTCAATAATTTTAAATTGTAGGTCTAATATTTTGGGAAAAAAAAAAAAATTAAATATTATTTTTAAATTATATAAATCATAACGGATTTCTCAAAGAAATTATTAATTATAAAATATTTTTATCAGACGGCTTGTCAAGATCAATTCCATCATTTTTTTTCTTCAATATCAGCCATTGTTTTAAAATTTAAAATGAAATTGAAGAAGTAATTTTTTCATTTATTTTTTAAATCTTTTTCGAGGGGCTGTTCAACTATCGAATAAGTTTTTTTTATATCTGTGTGAGTGTTACTAATCGGGACATAAGTAATCATTTTTAGATTAATAATCTTCATAAAATTGTATAACATTTGTTATTTTCAACGATTATTATTGATCAAATACACAAATTGTTTTTTATGTTAAATTCATTTTTTGAAAATGAAAAGAATTAATGATTATAAAAATGTACATACTTTTTACGTAAACGAAAAATGGAATAAAATATTCAAAAAAATTAACGATATTGAGCAGAAAAATGATGGATGGATAAATATGTGGGTTAAATTTAACAAATATAAACAAACATCATATAAATATACCCACAAAAGTGGTACAAAACAAGTTTTAATTTTGAGAAGACCGTCCTTATTATACTTACAATTATGTACATAGCCATAAAACTACTAATGTAATATTAATTAATTTTCTACTCTATAAAATATTTCTGTTCATATTATAAAAACAATTCAAAATTATTTTATAGCTTTGTTAGATACGTATATTGATAATTAATTATGAGTTTATATACAATTAACTGAGTGCTCTGTAGATGAAAGTTTTAAGGTATTTTTACACCACTTGAGTAGAGACCAAGGACTAACCACTCCATAGCGGTCATTTGATTAATATAATGATAATGAAAAATATAGATACGATTAAGATTAATTAGATGAAAATGATACTAAGATTATACTTACTTCTATTAATAATGTTATTATTCGAAATATATTATAATTATAAATATAAACAAACATGTAGTCAATTGTAAAAATAATTCTATATGATTATATTAAGCATTATAAATAATAAAATATAAAAACTGTTGGTTAATTATTAGTTTTGTAAAACATTTGTTACGTTCAGTCGTATATTATAAGAATTTTAAAATAATATGATTGCAAAATAATATTATGAGAACAGAAAAACATTATGTTATGGAATAAAACGTTTGTTTTATAGGAAATATATATAATTTAAAATACACATTATTGTATATTTGTTTTTTTTTTGTATATATATATTTTAGGGTGGTACTTCTTTAAAAAGATTTTTTTTTTTTATTATTATTTACTATCGATGACTCCAAAAAGGTTCCAATATGTACAAACATGATGTATACAAAATTTGAATATAATCGGATAAGTTTAACCCGTGCCCCAAAGCCCTTAAAGTTACAACTATAATAAACCGTAGACATGGCTGTAAATATAAAAATACCCCACCGATACAGTTCATATTTTATTCGTACATAGTCCATTTTTATCTTAATGTCTTTGATATATAATGTGATTATGTGAATCATAATTGTGACGACCGTGAATGTTCGTAATTGTTATTAGTCATTGCAAAGTCACTGGTGTTATTACTGCAAAGTACACTTATAAAATAGATGTTATAATGTCACTAGCATACGAACTTCATGATCAAACGAAAATATATTTAATCAAAGACGATGCAAATCAAATTATAGAGTGTAAGTTATCATCCAATATGAAAGTATTAAAAATTTTATTTTATAATCTTAAAAAAGTGAAGTTTAATGTGAGATAGAGTTGCTTTTTAGTTTTAAAAAAACAATTATATTTTGGAAAAAAGCACGAATACCAAAAAAAGATTTTCATTGTTGTATTGACAAATTAAAAAAAATGTATAATGAATGGAGAAATTTACAGAAACATGCAACAAGAAAAAATTTAAAACTATTTACTCTTCATCAAGAATATAAATTAAAGAAAAAAAATACGATTCAGTTCGTGATATTTGTATTTTTATTGTTCGTTGCTATGTTAAAGCGTGATTCAATGCACCAAATGCCTGTTTTGCACCATGCCAAGACTTACGATTTTTGCGTGATTTTTATGATTATAAAACAATAGATAAAAATTTATCTGGTTACACTAAAACAATGTATCGATCATCTATGGTACTTGTCTCTAGAGTCAGTTGAATTTACATTTTTCGATGATGCATTTTCTGACGATACAAAAATAAAAATGGTTCAAACTTTAAAAAAAAATAATAATGTAGATGGAGACTCAACTAATGTAGAAAAACGATTATGTGAAAATTAAATGTAATACCAAGTCTTATAAATAAGAGAACTGAATCATTTATTTCAGATAAAACTTTAAATTTTTTTTAAAATTTCAATACAAATTATAACTTTATTGAAACATCGTCTTCAACTTGGGAGAACATTGTAGAATACAAACGGGGTAAAG